GTCACCAAATATTGATGCGTATTGAACAAACAAAGCTGGTTGGTGTTGGTAACATCGATCTTTTTCCTCGTTCTTTTTTTCCTCAATTCTTTCTATTTTTCATGCACCACCAGTAATCAGAAGCACTGATATTACACCATTAATCCACAATGAACTGTTAGTTTGACTGAAAAAAATTAATTAAGTAAAAGAAACAAAAAGCTTTAATCGATAATTCAATGGAAACAAAAATTAAAACTGTCGCAAATTTAAGTTTAATGTTTTATAACAATCTACGGTAATGTAATGCAGTGAAAAATAGTTTTTTCAACATCTAAATTACTAATCATTGAAAATTAGGTGAATTTTTTGCCTTTTTTTTCTTGAACACTGTGTAGAGTATCATTAACTTTATGGCTGAAGAGGGAAAGAAGATGGTCAGCAAGGAAACAAAAGTGTTTATATAAGGAGAAGAAAAACTGGAGTTATCTGGCATAGTAAGCGGCGTCGTCAGAAAGTCTGATAGTTTCTGTGGGTCTACGGATTTTTCCAAACTCAGGAACGTTTTCAGGAACGCTTACGGTATACACAACAAATAATAATAGTTCTTTTTGTTTATGATGAAATTTGAAACAAGAGGAAAAGCAGTGTAATATGAAGTCAAACGGGAGAGGAAAACAGATTTCTCTTTTATCTTAATCTCCTAATTCTTCGTCTTCTTATACATTTATTTTTAAATATATCAACCAACAAGAATTGTATATATTGTACAGTAATCTGAGGCTTCGTTAGTGTCCAGCTTTTTCGACTAATTTCTTGCATCTGTAAAATTTACGTATCATTTTGCTTAAACAGATTATTTTATAAATTGTTCTTGCTTTCTGTATATGATAAGTTTTTAAACTTTTCTTCTTGTTAACTACATTAATGATAGCAATAAAAATGATAATTACATTGATAGTTCAACTTCTGATCGTTATCTTCAGGTTTCTTTCGTTGCTCATTTTATCACTCTGTTATTGCTGAGACTAATTCTTAGCATTGTTACGACGAGGATAAAATTGTTGGTTGGAAAGGGAAAAGGAAGGTGGGGAGGACAAGGCGTTAAAAGTGAGGAAGAAAAAGAAAGTTCAGTAACACCAAACCAGTGGTGCGGCTTGTCGTTCATACTGTTGTCTGCCGGTGCTGTTGATGTTGGTGGTAATGGCGATGACAGTTTTATGCTGGTTACGGCGTTGGTAGTTCATAACTTGAAAATGCCATAGATTTGGCTGATTTGTTCGTTCCGGGCACATACAGGCCCTTTTGGTTATGTAAAAGAGAATTGTTTTTTCCAAAGAAAAACGAAAACATTGTGACAGAAAAACTTTTTTTTATTTTGCTTATTTGAGTTTTTTAACAGTGCATTTGTTTACACGTTTTCGAAAATTTTTTTGTAAGTTTGTTTCTAAATTTTATCATATTTTATTTTGGAGAAAAAAATCTTGTTTCTTTAGATACCACCTGACAAAATCACATAACGTCCACTAGAGAGCGGACGTTTTTCTGCCTTAGCAGCGCCAGCAGTTGTAATGTTTTCCACTAGGTGATATCTTCATGTTTTAAAATTTTCAATCTAAAGATTCTAATTTTCTACATTGTGGACGCGGAATGATTATTTTGGAGTATAAAAAGTTCAGCTGTAATAGTAAATGTAAAAAAAGGACAGATCAAAAGTCTGGTCAGCATTGATCGTCCTCGCAGCTGTTAACTTTTAATTATCTTTAACAATAAGACCATTGTTAATTATAATGTGTGAAAATAAAGGCGTTCTTTTTTTCTTTTAAGGGTGATGACTGCTGAAAGTCTAAAGGACCTGAAAAGGATATCAATGATAAAAAAAAACAATCTCTTTTTTACTATTACGACAGTACCCAAAAGTACAGTTTTTTTCCCTCCTGCCCTCTTCCTCCTCCTCCTCCTCCTCCCCTCTTTCACTCACCTTGAAGTGAAATGAAAGAGTTAACGCAACTAACACTTTGTCTACACCGTTACATTGTTCTTTATTTATTCTACTTTTTTTTTGTTCTGGCAGAGAAAGAGATGTAGGAGCAGAAATAAAGGTGACGAGGTGAAAAGTATAAATTATAAACGGATCAATATTATAAGAAGCGAATGGTTAAACGACGGTGAAAAGCTGAATTGTATTTTTGCAGTGGAGGCGACATGACGGATGGCTTAACCAGTGACAAAACGAAAACCATTTTGTTAAGGCAGTATCAAGTAGGGTAAAAAAA